TGTAAAATGAAACAATTGGTCAAATTATCTCGTTTTACAATTGATCCATCCAAATGACCTACATGATTTGGGTAGCCATTCAATTGTATTTTATATTTAATTCTTTTTGAATTGTCCTTCCTGCCATTGCCACGTTAGTCTCTGATCACCATATTTTTTATATGTAAAAAATATCTTTAATGGACCTAGGTATGGATACGAAGAGAGAGGCTAAATCAAATTCGCATCATCACATCAAATTTTTACGTATTTAGACCTACCCGTCCTATATTCAATCACTGTGATAATTTCTTGCTTTGGTTATGGTTGAGGGCGGTCCACATTCGTGGTTTGATTATCTGGTTAATTACATGGTTGATCACCGATATTACAAAAAAAACTTTCATGTTAGGTCACTAGAAATATTTAAATTTAATTTTCGTCACTTAAATTAGTTAAATGGTTCAAGTTTGGCCACTCTCCGTCCAACTCCGTTAAATTTGTCTGATGTGGTAGTCAACCTTCAAAGTTGACCGTTAACTCAGTGACATGACAATTAAAAAAATAATAAATAAAATAAATTTTAATCTTCTAATCATTTCCAACTCATTTTCACAATAAAGTAAAATAAATAAAACAAAAAAATTATGTTACATCCCACCTTTTTAAGACATGTAAAAGACATTTCTACCCCGGGGTATATTTAAAAAAAATTATTCATAAACACACTTAAAATAAATACACCAAACTTTAATAATTTGAAGTCTCAATGACAAGCCCTAAACATGTGGGCAAAACTCCAAATCATATTCTTAAAAGAATCAAACGACCAGAATCTCCAGTTCTTAACTTTCAACCACAAAGTCCAAATAACTTAAAAGTTTTGCCCAACGCTTACTCTGATGCTTGGTCCGCCATGCTTTAACGACGCTGATGTTGAGCCCCTCTAACCTGTTGCCCACGAACTATCTGATCTTGATCTCCTCCTCTACGATCTGGTGAGTGAGTTGGGGTCTGTCTACGCCATTACTTAAACTTGAACCACTTACGGATTATTACCTTAAGTGTTCCTCAAACAATAAATTAGTGGAAGTTGATTATACTTTCGCCCTTTAAACTTTAACTCTTAAAACGTGGGATTTACTCTTAACCCCACTCTCAAAAACTTTAAAACTTTGACCGACACTGGGATCCCCCACTAGCTAGTCCGGTTGCCCAACTCATACGTATGAGAGCCCATGCAGGCTTACATAAACTTAAACTTAGTTAGGGGAGTCGCAACAATTCCCTAACATCTTATACTTATCATGGTGGCTCTTCACCATGATCCTCAAGAGCATAACTGCTGCTCATCTTAAAAGTCTTAAGAGCATAACTGCTGCTCATCTCAAAATCTCATATGGGCAACGGACTGGCGCTAGCGACTAAAAATTCTTAAAACTTTACACCTTCCTTGAAGGTGTTGTACTCCTTAAAAGTAACTTACTGGTAATTAAATACATGTCATCAACTGTATGACTGGAAACATAACTTACACGTAATATCATGCATCACGTAAACATACATAAGCATATATGACACGTAGTAGCAAATCTCAAACGAAATTACCGTAAGGTAAATACTTGGAAATATGTAAGGCGTAGATTTTACCCCCTTTACGCTCACCTCTTGTGGCGATTACTTAGTTCCCTTGATGTGGAACCCTTACTCCGATTGCTACCTTAAACCTATAATTTAAACGTATATCCTTTTAGTCGATACTGCTCAATTTATCACCTTTAACTCACTAAAAACTATCCTCCTTAAATCTATAATTTTATAATATCAAAACGTCATTCTAGATTCTTGTAAAATTATCAAATGGGTCAGGAGCCTTCTTTTACTATTTTAGTTAAATAAAACCGTCCTTAGTTTAATTTTTATAAATATTAAATCACCTCTTAAAATCTCCAAATTTATTATGAGTAACCTTATTGCACCCTAGTTACGTATAAAATTATCAAACATATCGAAGTCGCTTATACAGTATTTTAATTTTCTAAAACCGATGTTCTACGAATTTGTAGAATTATAAATACAGCTCATAAAATTCTCCAATTATTATCCAGTCATCGAAATAATATTCTCTAATTTATAAAATTATCAAATCATAAAAATATTCACTGAAACGCGTCGGAAGTAAACATGTCCATAGGAAAATACTACTTTCGGTCAATTGTCAAAATTTGAAACGTAGGAGACCAATCTGCTCATACTAAAAACATGGGGGACTAATCTAGATATTTTCTCGCAGACAGGTACCTGCACGTTTCAGCTCACGTCTCAAACTTTCGTAGCTCCGTTCTCCCTCGTCTAACGTCGAAATTCGATTTCGTCAAAACGGTGACGATCCTGGGATCGTCCTCTTCACGATGGTACCAAGGTTTTGAAGTTTGGTCGAGTTCGACCACGCCGGAGCCTCTGTCGAAGTTACGACCATTATATACATGGGTTTGAGTTAGTTTTGATCGAAATCAAATACGGAGATCGATTGGGATGAGTACTCACCCTCAAAGCAAGCCTAGGGTAGATACGAGCTGTTGAACCACAGTTTATCGCTTAGATCATCCTTTGATCACCTCGTACTGTTGTCGCCGCAGCTACGACGCAACAACCATAGTTAGCTAATTATGTAGCTTCGAGGCTTGAAAAGGGTTTGGGATTCATAGCTCTTACCTACTGGTCTCGAGAACATTCTTTAAAACATAAAAAGTGACTACGCTTTATTGTCACTACTGTACATTATTTTGTCGTTTTGTGGCAAATGCTAAAGGCCTTTTGGTGAACCTCTACGGCGGGCGTCCTCCCACGGCACACATGCGTCGTCTCTTTCGGACCAGCCCACCTCTGTCTATGACACTCAGCCATGCTTTCCGTAACTAAAAATTCGTTTCCTCCCTGTTGCCTGGCCCGATCCCAAACGAGCTTCCCATAGCCTCTGCCACGTCTCATCAGTTGCAGATAAGCATGCTTTCCCATATCACAATCTCAACCACAAAATCTACATTGGCACGCCACCCCTTCAATTATCTCCCATCGGCCCATCCCCTTACTACTTTGATTTGCTTCTAAACATTGCAACCTCTGCAAACCTACTCAACCACTTCGCCGCCCATTCTTTTCTACATCGGCAAAGAATAAGAGGAAGGAAGGAGGAGGAGAACAAAAACCCTCCCAGCTCTCTCTCTCTCTCTCTCTCTCTCTCTCTCTCTCTCTCTGTGTATGGAAGGAGGAGAAGAAGAATCCGACGAAGAAAAAGATCTCACACCTTGCCCGAGTTCATCTTATTCTACAAACTCATCTATAGATTCCTCTTTCCCTCTAGGTACTTCTTCTTTGCTGAGTTCCCTCTTTTTTTTCGTTTGTGATTTCCCTCTAGATACTTCTGATTTGTTGACTTTATTTATTTTTTTTTTTTCCGTTTGTGATTTAGTGATCATGGTTCGGATCCGTATCTCTCCATCTCGAACAAGGAGTGGTTTCGACAAAGAGAAACCAGTTTGAAAAGGGTCTCTTGAGCTATCTTTTCTGGAAATGGCAAGCCGTTGCAGCATTCATGAGTGGTTGGGGAGGGAACGACAAGTAGCAGAGAAGGATGAAGGAGGTTCTGCATTGTGCATTTTTCCTTGGCGAGCCATTTGTGGTTTGACCTCATTCATTTACTGGTTATCAATTTGCGGAAAACTTTCTCAGATTGGCTGAATCATGTTGAAACATATAAGAGGTACTGATTTGTCTTCTGCTGAATCAGGGTCTGAAGCTTAAGAAATTCCATCCCCTAAGGCACTTAAGGACGGCCTACTCACATCTGTCCCTATGATTAGTTGTTTCTAGATTAGGTTTATTATTTTATAGTTATAACTGATAGTGGTACTTGGGTAGGGTTTGAACTTGAGGTTCCTCATGAGCAGATGCAACATCACATAATTCTATTTGTGATGTGATCTGCAGGCTGGGTTGGATGAGGAAGTAGCAATAGTTGAGCTAGAAGATTCTGGTTAGTAGCTTTGGAATTCTGGACTTCTGAGATTCTGAATTTTGTGTTCATGTTAACCAATTATAAGCTTTACTTTGTACACCCATTTGCATGCTCTCAATTCTTAGCTTTACGATTTTTGGAATCTCATTTTTCACTAGGGAGTAGGGACTAAGTTGGCACTGCCAGTAGTCTTCTACACAACCTGCATTCATATCTTTTCTCATGCCTTTTCTGTGATATCTACATTCCCTACAACCAATGTTTATGATGTTTACTACAACTTCAGTTCAGTCTTCCACATTAATACATAACCCATTAATACATAATTGCAGTGCATTCCATAACATGTTCCTAATTGAAAGATTATAATATAATTGAGTAAGGCTCTGATCAAGTAATATGCAAAAGACCCGTTTAATGAGTTGTTTCCCAATGCAAACAGATAGAGGGTCTGGAAACGCTTCTGCTGCAAGGACCAAACCAGCCAATGAGAGTAGGAGAAAGCTAGAAACTGACCAAAATGTTGACCGGATAGCTTTAGAAGTCGACATTGGACAAGCACCCAACTAACTCGGCTGAAGTCCTGGCTTAAATGTTGCTTAACCACACCAACTCTATTACTTGAATTTCCTTCTTTATGATTGAGCTTTCAGCAAGTTAGACTTGATTCACATTTATTGGACTTGATTCACATTTTGTTTCTTGGTTGATCTACATTTTCTTTTCTTGCATTTTTAGGTTCAGATCGTTGGTTCAACACCCACATCTATGTGCGCCCATTCAGATGTTTCAATATTTAGTGATCTAACAAAATTGCTTCTAGAAGATCTAAACATCCAATCAGCTAAATACAACCTCAACCCTCAGCTAAACACGCTCTGCGGCATAGCCGCTGGTATTGATTCTAAACTCTCCATTGCTGACCTCTGTTGTTCCTTTTATGTATGTTTACGTGTTGGTGCATAATTAACCCAATTGCTTGGTTTGTCTTTCATGCTGTTCAGTTCAAGGATTGCCTGAGGCAAGGAGATTAATAGAGCATCGAAAGGTATGAACAAGGTTGGAACGATTAGTAAGCTGGATGTTTGGTTTCTCAAAACTCAAAGAAATGTTGTTTCATGCCTAAATATCCTTATGTTCAAATTGTAGCTCAGGTGGAACACATTCTGGTCTCCAGACATGATCAAGAAGTGGTCCAGTCGTCTTCGGTAAGTGCCATCAGTTTGTATGTAGTCAATGAAATAGTAGGTTGTTTTTTCATATCTTCATTTCATTAGTAGAGAATGTTTAATTATTCCACTTTCTTATAGGCTCTCTTTATAAATAAGCAGATGATGAATCATAATGGATCTCATTTAAAATTACCATTGTAGTAATGATGTGCTTGATTGTCGATATACTTATCCAGGAGCTCAAGCATATGGTTCATGTTCTTCTGGAATACAACAATTAGTTAGGGTACGTTGACACATAATTCTTCATTTGATTCATGAGCCTTTCTTCTTACCTTAGACTGATTTGCTTTGTGCGCAAGTAGTTATCGAATTTTTCAAGCTGGTTTTTTCGCTACTCATTCGGATGATGATCTTATTTCATGGATGTACCATTTAAAACAAACCAACATGATGTTAACCTCAACTCAATCATCACATCTTCTCATTGAACCTTTTCTGGTCTGTAGAAGTCAGGAATGGAAATCTGGAAGGACAGTTCTAAGTCACACAATTGCACGAGGCCTGCATCTGTAGGACGAGTTCCCTAATATTCTCTCATTGTCGTCATTGTTGGCTGTCACCACACTTGGGACCTATGATATTGCTCTGGAACTGTGAAATCATCATTGATGGATGACCTGAACTTGATAAAATCCATTTGTCAGTCTATCTTTCATGTGTAATATTTGGTTAACAGTTGTGTGTAATGCTTTGCCCAGTAACAAAGTGTTTATGCAATGTAGTCTCGGTGTAAAATTTAGAAACCAAATGAAGAGTTTACATGGGGTTAAGTCAACTCTTTAGACTTTATGGTTTGTAAATCATTATGATTGTGAGTTTTCTTGCATAGCAGGTAGGGGTGGCTATTTGGACCGGGACCGGATGAAAAACCGGAAACCGGACCGTATAACCCGGATCGAGACCGGACCGGGACCGGATAGTAAACAATCCAATCCAATCTTTGGGCTTAGATTTGAGGTAAAAAACCGGATAAAGACCGGATAAGAGAGCTCAACATCCAAAACTTAAGGGTAATTTGCATAAACGATCACAAACCTTTGGACTTAGTACAAAACTTAACCAACTCCTCACCCTTTTAGGCCTTAGGCCACTCAAATTCCCACAATCTCAATATAAAACCAAGACCGAATTGGGACCGGACCGGGTCAAGACCGGACCGGATCAAGACCGGACTGTATCCAATCCAATCTTCGGTCCTTATATTTTCAAAAAAACCGGACTGGACCGGATCAATTTGGGCCAATTTAACCGGACCGGACCGTATAGCCACCCCTAATAGCAGGGATGTCCAAGTTCGTTAGCAAAAAATATGGAACTTGCTCTATGTTTATAGTTTCTAAGTATTTTCGTTAACACTGCATTGCTTTTAAATATACTAAACTCGGCTAAATCTCCTGCGGCGTAGCCGCGGGTGTTTATACTAGTATGAAGGAAAACACCGCTAATTTTGTGGCCCTTCTCTAGTAACGACGATGAACGGTGGTGTGGCGGGATGATGACGAGATGGATGAGTGCTATTGTTTTACTCGGCCTCCTCCTGCTAGCTAGTAGTGGTGACGATGATGATTGGGCAAGGAGGCAAAGGCGCTTTAGCTTCTGGTGGTGTTTGATTTTCTTGCGGATAGATGGAGACAATTTGTGATGGTGATAGAGATGAGTAGGTAGCAGTGATGTTTATTTGAACAATGAGAAATGGGGGGTTTTGGATACGAGATGCAGATGGATGGCTTTCTCACACTCTTTTCTCTAGGTTTAATTTAAGGACCGAGAGAGAGAGGCTAGTTGATATGGGTTGTCTAGCAGTAGCTAGCTGTCTCTAATAATAGAGGTTCACGAGCTGATGGGATAAGGGAAATGGGGGGTGTAAAGGACTTGTTGGGTGGTTAGTAGACAGATGGGTGTAAATGAGATCAATACAATTATGCTAGGAAGGTAATTTGTGAAAGGCTACTTTAAGTGTGATTTGGGGTGGCTGTAACGAGTGGAGTGAGGTTAATTCTCCCCCTTTGTGTCGGTGATCATCAAGATTATATAGATGTTCTGTGTTATATCTGTTCACTCTAAAATGTTCTCCCTGTCGATACGATCGCGTGGCCGCAAACGGCTCGTTATTTCGACGTCAAACGAATAAGATACGTTCGTTTTAGCTTTCGGTACGCAAACGTTACTCTAACGATAGGTTCCACTTTGGACTAACTTATCTCACTCGTTTAGACTCGGAATTAAGATCTGTAAAATTCTAAGTGATCGTAGAATAATTTCTTAACTTAGAGTGTCGAGCTTAGATACTGATTATTAAGAAATTGACCCAGAATATTCTTACTTAAAATGTCATCAATCAATAGTTTCAATCGCAACTTACTCGCGTAGGAATGGAATTCTTGTTTCCTCGTTAAATTTAGTTTGTTTATAAATTTCTCGATGTTTGGGGTGTTACATTTCCTCCCCACTTAAAAAAAATTTCGTCCCCGAAATTGAAACGTTTATACTGGGATATAACATTTCCCTCCCTCATAAGGAAAATTTCGACCTCGAAATTATGTTCTGAACAACGTTGTTAAACATGACGAAACAAACTGAGTCATCATAACTATTGTTACGACGTATTGATAATTGCCATGAAATGTCAATGAGGCTTATAATAACTTCTCTAAACGCTTTTAAACAACTCGGGATATTTTTCTTTCATGCTACTCTCTGTTTCCCAAGTTGCAGCTTCGCTGCCCTGATTCCTCCATATCACCTTAACCAGAGTGATCTTCTTCTTCCTCAGCATCTTCTCTTTTTTGTCTACGATCTGAACTGGCACCTCTTCATAGGTCAGGTCGTCGTCTAGCTGGATATCCTCATGTCTGATCACATGGTCAGGGTTAGACCGGTAGGCCTTCAGCATGCTGATGTGGAAGACGTTGTGAATTCTTGCAAGGTTAGGAGGTAAAGCTAATCGATATGCGAGGGGTCCAACACGTTCCAACACCTCATATGGTCCAATGTACCTAGGACTCAGTTTCCCCTTTTTACCAAATCGCATCACCCCTTTCCAAGGAGATACTCTTAGAAATACCATATCTCCCACTTCATGACTTCGTTGATTTCCTGGCCTCTCAGAGTTACTTTTCTGCCGGTCCTGAGCCGCCTTCAAGTTCCGACGGATTGCCTCGACCTTCTCTACCGCCTTCTGAACCATCTCTGGACCCTCCAGCTGTCGCACTCCTTCTCCATCCCAGTACAGTGGTGTTCGACATTTTCTCCCATACAACACTTCATACGGAGCCGCTTGTATCGAGCTATGATACTGGTTGTTATAAGCAAACTCCATTAGAGGTAAGTGCTCGTCCCAAGCTCCTCCCATTGTCAAAACACATGCCCTTAGCAGGTCTTCTAGTGTTTGAATTGTCCGTTCTGATTGTCCATCAGTCTGGGGATGATATGCGGTAGAGAAGTGCACTTTAGTGCCCATAGCCTTTTGAAGACTCACCCAGAATCGTGCCGTGAAGCTAGGGTCGCGATCAGACACAATGCTAAGTGGGACTCCATGAAGCCTTACTATCTCTCTCACATACAATCTAGCCAGCTCTTCTAGCCCTGGTTTGAATCTGATAGGTATAAAGTGAGACACCTTCGAGAATCGATCCACAATTACCCATACTCCATCGTTTCCCCTCGGGGTCTTTGGTAAACCATATACAAAATCCATAGTGACCTTCTCCCAAGTCCACTGTGGAATTTCAAGTGGTAAGTGCTCAATAACTGGGGCTTGGTGCTCAGCCTTTATCATTTGACACTCCAAGCACTGATATACATGAGCGGCTACCTCCTTCTTCAACCCTGGCCACCAAAAATGTTCCTTGAGGGTACGGTACATCTTCGTAGCCCCGGGGTGCATCGCGTATGGTGCAGAGTGAGCCTCGTCCAGAATATCCTTCCTTAGCTTGTCAACACTTGGCACACACAACCTCCCTTGATACATTAGTACTCCATCTACCAGTTCAAATTTGGTGTTCTTCCCCTCTAACACTTGCTTCTTGTACTTCTCAAGCTCCATATCCTCACCCTGCTTCTCCTTGATTCGTTCATGTAGCATAGGACGAACCTTTAAGGTTGCTAACAGTTTCGTCACTTCCTCTAGCTCCAACTCCACGTTCATGGCCCTCAAGGAGATTAACTCAGGTAAGGGACTCTCTTTCTTCCTACTCAACGCATCAGCCACTACATTTGCCTTTCCTGGATGATACTTGATAGTGCAGTCGTAATCACTTAAGAGTTCCATCCATCTCCTCTGCCTCATGTTCAACTCCTTTTGATCAGTCAAGTGTTGGAGGCTTTTGTGATCCGTGAAGATGGTGAACGTCTCGCCGTAGAGATAGTGTCTCCATAACTTCAAGGCGAAGACTACTGCTGCCAACTCTAAGTCATGGGTCGGGTAGTTCACCTCGTGGGGTCGTAGTTGTCTCGAAGCATAAGCGATCACCTTCTTATCCTGCATCAGTACACAACCCAAGCCTTGGTACGAAGCATCGCTATAGATGGAATACTCCCCACCACTGGTCGGTAGTGCTAACACTGGTGCAGAGGTCAGCTTCTCCTTCAGTAACTCAAATGCCATTTGACACTTCTCATCCCAAACAAATGGCTTCCCCTTCTGCAATAGTTGTGTCATAGGTCTTGCAATACTGGAGAATCCCTCAACAAACCTCCGATAATAGCCAGCTAATCCCAAGAAACTCCGCACTTCAGGGACATTTTTGGGTGGTGCCCAATTGGTGACAGCCTCTATCTTCTTGGGATCTACTTCCACTCCACGGCCCGAAATCATATGACCCAAGAATAATACTTCCTCCAACCAAAAGTCACACTTCGAGAACTTGGCATATAGCTTCTCCTCCTTCAATTTATGTAAAACAACCCTCAAGTGCTCTTCGTGTTCCTCCTTACTCCTCGAGTAAATGAGTATGTCATCTATAAAGACGATGACAAACTTGTCCAAGTATTCATGAAGAACCCGGTTCATTAGCGCCATAAAGGCTGCCGGTGCATTAGTTAGTCCGAATGGCATGACCAAGAATTCATAGTGGCCATACCGGGTCCGGAAAGCCGTCTTGGGTACTGAACCATCTGCCACTCTCAACTGATGATACCCTGACCGCAGATCAATCTTCGAAAACACCCTCGCTCCTTGTAGCTGATCGAAGAGATCATCTATCCTTGGTAAAGGATAACGGTTCTTGATGGTGGCCTTGTTTAGCTTCCTATAGTCGATGCACAATCTCATACTGCCATCCTTCTTCTTCACAAACAATACCGGTGCTCCCCAAGGTGATACACTAGGGCGAATAAAGCCCTTGTCTAATAGCTCCTGCAATTGCTCCTTCAACTCCTTTAGCTCCACTGGCGCCATGCGGTATGGAGGAATAGATATCGGTGCTGTGCCAGGAATCACTTCAATATCAAATTCCACCTCCCGTTGTGGCGGTAGTCCAGGAAGGTCTTCGGGAAATACCTCAGGGTATTCCCTTACGATAGGTACATCTTCTATCTTTTTCTCTTGCACCTCCTTGACATGAGCCAAATAGGCTTCACATCCATCTTGAATCAATGAGAATGCCTTAATCGCTGAGATTAAGCATCCAGGAATTAGCTTCTTAGTCCCTTTGAATAGTGCAGTGTCTTTTCCTTCTATCTCCAGACAAACCTCCTTTTTATAGCAGTCCATCTTCGCTCTGTTCTTGGATAGCCAATCCATGCCCAAGATAACATCGAATTCGTCGAACGGTAGCAGAATCAGGTTCGCCTCAAATTTGTGGCCCGCCACAGTGATAAGACAACCCCGAATGACTGAGTCTACTATTAGGGTATCCCCTACTGGGGTTCTTACCCCTAAATTCTGTCTCAATCTCACAGATGGGATCCCTACGATCCTAGCAAGCTTGGTCGAAATGAAAGAGTGCGTGGAACCAGAATCGAATAATACAAAGGCTGGCTGATGGTAAAGTGAAATCATACCAGTCACCACATCGGGTGCAGCAACAGCTTCTTCCCTCCTCATGGCAAACAGTCTTGGTTGCCCAGCCACTTGAGATCCTTGCCCTCGATCTCGCTCGTTGCGGTTGAACCGCCCTGCATTGCCTCCCTGTTGCTGATAGGACCGGTTTGGATTGTTGTTAAACTGCTGTCCGGCTTGTGTTCTTCCTCCTCCGCCCCTGACTGATTGTTCAGACTGAGCTCTCCCTTGCCCTCCTTTCCTAGGGCAATCTCTAGCATAGTGGCCCGGCTCATTGCAGTGATAGCATATGCCTCCCATATGTACCTTACACTCTCCCGGGTGAGTTCTCCCACACTTGTTACATGGGTCCCGGTGAATATAGGTTGGCCCTGATCGGGTTGAGCCGGCATGGCTCTGAGTGACCCCATAGTAGCTCTGGCTCGGTCTCCTCCTTGAATGACTCAGCTGGCTTGGCCCCTCTGAAAGGCTGGCAGCCTTTCTCTTGTTCCCTTCTCTTTGCATCCCCTCCTCGTGCAGGGCTGTATCTGCCCTCTCCAACCGGAGAGCTGCTTGATAGATCTCCTCTCTGTTGTTCCAATTCAGCATACTCAATTGACGCCTAAAAGGAGGCTTCAGGCTCTCCAGGTAGTGGATGCGTTGTGCATGTGCATCCTGAAATTGAGGTCCTCCATAGGCAAGCAGTTTGTCAAATCTCGCCGTGTAGTCAGCCAAGCTCTCTCTTCCTTCGTTGCTCCACCTCTGCCTTATCAGCATAAATTCCCTCTGCTTCCCGATCCGGTAAGCCTCAGGTATGAAGTGGTCTTTGAACAACTGCACGAACCCTAGCCAAGTGATGGCCGGTGGATCCTCTTGACTAGCTGGCTGGTTTGCCCACCAGTTGTAAGCAGTGTCTTGTAGCAAAGATACTGTCAGCAGTACCCTGTCCTCGTCATCAGCCCTCATTTCGACCAGGGTACGGGTGACCTTAGCTAGCCACTGCTCAACCTCCATGGGGTCTGTTGAACGGTCCCCCTTAAAATCTTCCACCTTTCTCTTCCGGAAAGCTATGTAATCCGGTGGAGGTCTCACTTGTGGTGGCACAACCGGGGCTGGATTCTGGCCAACACTTGCTCTGTAGACACATACGATCTCGTTAAAACCCAGTTATTTCTTTCTTAACATGGTTGAGAGTAGACTGGAGATTCTATCGACTCTTAAAAGAAAATTCTTGACTCGTTTGGCCAAAACTTTAACTTAAAACTCACTTTACTTTCTTTAAACAAATTTTTAAAACTAAGACCGTTATTCCAGTATTTCTTAGGAACCAAGAAATAGAGGAAGACCGGCTCTGATACCACAAAATGTTACATCCCACCTTTTTAAGACATGTAAAAGACATTTCTACCCCGGGGTATATTTAAAAAAATTATTCATAAACACACTTAAAATAAATACACCAAACTTTAATAATTTGAAGTCTCAATGACAAGCCCTAAACATGTGGGCAAAACTCCAAATCATATTCTTAAAAGAATCAAACGACCAGAATCTCCAGTTCTTAACTTTCAACCAAAAAGTCCAAATAACTTAAAAGTTTTGCCCAACGCTTACTCTGATGCTTGGTCCGCCATGCTTTAACGACGCTGATGTTGAGCCCCTCTAACCTGTTGCCCACGAACTATCTGATCTTGATCTTCTCCTCTACGATCTGGTGAGTGAGTTGGGGTCAGTCTACGCCATTACTTAAACTTGAACCACTTACGGATTATTACCTTAAGTGTTCCTCAAACAATAAATTAGTGGAAGTTGATTATACTTTCGCCCTTTAAACTTTAAATCTTAAAACGTGGGATTTACTCTTAACCCCACTCTCAAAAACTTTAAAACTTTGACCGACACTGGGATCCCCCACTAGCTAGTCCGGTTGCCCAACTCATACGTATGAGAGCCCATGCAGGCTTACTTAAACTTAAACTTAGTTAGGGGAGTCGCAACAATTCCCTAACATCTTATACTTATCATGGTGGCTCTTCACCATGATCCTCAAGAGCATAACTGCTGCTCATCTTAAAAGTCTTAAGAGCATAACTGCTGCTCATCTCAAAATCTCATATGGGCAACGGACTGGCGCTAGCGACTAAAAATTCTTAAAACTTTACACCTTCCTTGAAGGTGTTGTACTCCTTAAAAGTAACTTACTGGTAATTAAATACATGTCATCAACTGTATGACTGGAAACATAACTTACACGTAATATCATGCATCACGTAAACATACATAAGCATATATGACACGTAGTAGCAAATCTCAAACGAAATTACCGTAAGGTAAATACTTGGAAATATGTAAGGCGTAGATTTTACCCCCTTTACACTCACCTCTTGTGGCGATTACTTAGTTCCCTTGATGTGGAACCCTTACTCCGATTGCTACCTTAAACCTATAATTTAAACGTATATCCTTTTAGTCGATACTGCTCAATTTATCACCTTTAACTCACTAAAAACTATCCTCCTTAAATCTATAATTTTATAATATCAAAACGTCATTCTAGATTCTTGTAAAATTATCAAATGGGTCAGGAGCCTTCTTTTACTATTTTAGTTAAATAAAACCGTCCTTAGTTTAATTTTTATAAATATTAAATCACCTCTTAAAATCTCCAAATTTATTATGAGTAACCTTATTGCACCCTAGTTACGTATAAAATTATCAAACATACCGAAGTCGCTTATACAGTATTTTAATTTTCTAAAACCGATGTTCTACGAATTTTTAGAATTATAAATACAGCTCATAAAATTCTCAAATTATTATCCAGTCATCGAAATAATATTCTCTAATTTATAAAATTATCAAATCATAAAAATATTCACTGAAACGCGTCGGAAGTAAACATGTCCATAAGAAAATACTACTTTCGGTCAATTGTCAAAATTTGAAACGTAGGAGACCAATCTGCTCATACTAAAAACATGGGGGACTAATCTAGATATTTTCTCGCAGACAGGTACCTGCACGTTTCAGCTCACGTCTCAAACTTTCGTAGCTCCGTTCTCCCTCGTCTAACGTCGAAATTCGATTTCGTCAAAACGGTGACGATCCTGGGATCGTCCTCTTCACGATGATACCAAGGTTTTGAAGTTTGGTCGAGGTCGACCACGCCGGAGCCTCTGTCGAAGTTACGACCATTATATACGTGGGTTTGAGTTAGTTTTGATCGAAATCAAATACGGAGATCGATTGGGATGAGTACTCACCCTCAAAGCAAGCCTAGGGTAGATACGAGCTGTTGAACCACAGTTTATCGCTTAGATCATCCTTTGATCACCTCGTACTGTTGTCGCCGCAGCTACGACGCAACAACCATAGTTAGCTAATTATGTAGCTTCGAGGCTTGAAAAGGGTTTGGGATTCATAGCTCTTACCTACTGGTCTCGAGAACATATGAAGGAAAACACCGCTAATTTTGTGGCCCTTCTCTAGTAACGACGATGAACGGTGGTGTGGCGGGATGATGACGAGATGGATGAGTGCTATTGTTTTACTCGGCCTCCTCCTGCTAGCTAGTAGTGGTGACGATGATGATTGGGCAAGGAGGCAAAGGCGCTTTAGCTTCTGGTGGTGTTTGATTTTCTTGCGGATAGATGGAGACAATTTGTGATGGTGATAGAGATGAGTAGGTAGCAGTGATGTTTATTTGAACAATGAGAAATGGGGGGTTTTGGATACGAGATGCAGATGGATGGCTTTCTCACACTCTTTTCTCTAGGTTTAATTTAAGGACCGAGAGAGAGAGGCTAGTTGATATGGGTTGTCTAGCAGTAGCTAGCTGTCTCTAATAATAGAGGTTCACGAGCTGATGGGATAAGGGAAATGGGGGGTGTAAAGGACTTGTTGGGTGGTTAGTAGACAGATGGGTGTAAATGAGATCAATACAATTATGCTAGGAAGGTAATTTGTGAAAGGCTACTTTAAGTGTGATTTGGGGTGGCTGTAACGAGTGGAGTGAGGTTAATTCTCCCCCTTTGTGTCGGTGATCATCAAGATTATATAGATGTTCTGTGTTATATCTGTTCACTCTAAAATGTTCTCCCTGTCGATACGATCGCGTGGCCGCAAACGGCTCGTTATTTCGACGTCAAACGAATAAGATACGTTCGTTTTAGCTTTCGGTACGCAAACGTTACTCTAACGATAGGTTCCACTTTGGACTAACTTATCTCACTCGTTTGGACTCGGAATTAAGATCTGTAAAATTCTAAGTGATCGTAGAATAATTTTTTAACTTAGAGTGTCGAGCTTAGATACTGATTATTAAGAAATTGACCCAGAATATTCTTACTTAAAATGTCATCAATCAATAGTTTCAATCGCAACTTACTCGCATAGGAATGGAATTCTTGTTTCCTCGTTAAATTTAGTTTGTTTATAAATTTCTCGATGTTTGGGGTGTTACAAATTATTATAGTTACAAGGACCCCATCTTTGCAAGGACCCAGGTAAGGACCGCAGAGATCCGGATTACCCAGAAAGGAAGTGTAGTTAAAGTAGCTAAACTGACCAGTACCAGGGACTAAACCAGAGAGATTGTTGTAAGAGAAATCAACAGATGTTAAGCCCTGCATAGTGGAAATGGGTGGAGAATGCTACCGATGAGATTGTTTCTCGATACATTCAGTTAGTTCAAGATCCTGATCGCTGTAATCTCATTCGGAATTTCACCGGAGAGTTGGTTTCGACTCAGATCCACGAACGTCAGCAGCTTGCATTGACTGATCTCAGGTGTGATTGGCCCTGATAACTTGTTGTGGCTGAAATCCATCTTCGAAAGCTGCTGTAGCTTTCCGATATATGAAGGGATTGAACCCGTGAATTGATTCCCGTCGAGAAGCAACTTCTGAACACCAGAGAAGTTGCCGATAGTCGGAGGCAATGGCCCATAGAGCTCATTGTTGGAGAGACTGGTTTGGCCAAGATTCATGGCTACAGCCTCGGTAGTAACGGGAAACTCTTCGGTCAATAGATTGTATTGAAGCTCCATTTGGGTAAGCTCCGATAACGCTTGAGGAATGTTTTCGGTGAAGTTATTCTCCCAGAGCTGCAACACCTCAAGCTGCGGCATCTCGCCGATGAACTCCGGAATGGCGCCATGGAGCTTGTTTCTGAAGAGATTGAGGAGAGTCAAGTTCTTGAGTTCAACGAAAGCAGGTGGAATCTCCCCTTGGAGCATGTTGTTGGACAAATCCATGGATTTCAAGCTCTTTAAGTTGCCCAGCTCCGACGTCAGTGGTCCAGAATTGAAGATGATTGCTGGTTGCTGGATCCAAAGAACGGGCAGCCATAGCGATTGGTGAATATGGTTGGGAAGGCTAGTGATTAATTGTCTTGTATTAATTAATTAATTATTTATTTATTTTACTTTATTGTGAAAATGAGTTGGAAATGGTAGAAGATTAAAATTTATTTTATTTATTATTTTTTAATTGCCACGTCACTGAGTTAACAGTAAATTTTGAGGGTTGACTGCCACATCAGACAAATTTAACGGAGTTGGACGGAGAGTGACCAAACATGAACGTTTTTTGTAATCTCAATGACCAATCATGCAATTAACCCTTTGATTATCATTCCTACTTTCCTACACTCCACTCCATATCCAATGCCTCGGGCCAGAAGGAGATGGGCCGGCCCAAGATTAACATTACGCAGTCCGCTCACCAACTGGGCTTACTCTTGGGCCCATCCCTGACTAAATTCCGTGCCAATTGCCAGGCAAATTGAACCAAAGAAGAAGAAGAAGAAGCAATTGATTATGCAAGCAAGCACTCATGTCGCCATTTTTTCCGGTGTGTAGAAAGGAAATTTGCTGCCAGAAAACTAAAAAATTAAAGAATTGGAAAAGGGTTCGTGGGGATCCCCAAATCTATTGCTGTTCGATCCAGGGCCGTTTGTTGGAAAGAATTCTCCTCAGTAATAATAAAATATCAATCGAAGCTGCCAGTCACAGATTCTTCCTCAGTAGAAGCCCAGCAGTGGAATGGAGCCATCGACGACGATTATGGATCTACGATGGAGGAGCCTCCTGTTTGACTTTCGACGCGGCATCGGGAACTGCCCCATTAATTCAATTCAACAGTTTCTCAGAGTGGCTTTTTCCCTTCCCTCCAATATTCAATCTCCATGGCCGCTGCCTGTTTCCTCTTCTTCCTCCTCGAATCCCGCTCACCCTCTTCTCCCTTTGCGTGCCATTCAAAAAGATCCATCCCTCGCATTCAACGCCAACTACTCGTCTCCCCGTGATCTCCATCGTGTCCCGCCACTGTCGGCTGCTTTATTCTTCTCCGTTTCCCTTCCAATTCACGGCACAATCGTTAACCTTACTATTCTGAGATCGATTACAACCGGATGACTGAGGGTTTTAAGTTCCCTCTCTTCTGCCCACATCTCAATTTGTAGTTTCCAGGAGGTGGTGTAGTAATTGGCATGTCTGATTTCAAGTTACAAGTGGTGGTTCCCAAGGATCACGATGAAGAATCAGGACTCATTACCAGCAGCTCCGTCGGCGCCGGAGAACTGACTCCGGCCAAGGATGCTACGGGTGTGGGTTTCTCCACGAACCCAGAGCGTAGAGCGGTTGGTGACAGGTGAGCCCGAGTTCAAGACTATCTGTTGACTGTTGCTGCTGGTCTAGTAGATATGCTTCACCATTGTCTTTTCTTGCTGGAATTGGGATATGGTGTAAATGTCTCTCCTTTTGGTCTTCAGGCTCTTCAGAGGGAGCCACAACAGTGCTCCAGTTGACGGGGATGAAACACGGGACCATAGACCGGGGAGAAGATCGGGTCCTCTTGTATCTGGAGCTGCATACTGCGTTTCTTCTTGCAGCATGATATTGCTGAATAAGGTTGTTCTATCAACCTACAATTTCAATGCAGGGACTTCTTTGATGCTCTATCAGGTACATTACTCGTTCCAGACTTTTCAACCTTGTCCAGTTTGTTCACGTTGTGAACCGTGCAAATACTTCCCTTAAACCCATTTTCTGTTGTAAATTGTTGAGATGAACATGAAGTAAAGCTTCTGTATATAGTAGTAAAATGCTTTTGCCTGTTATGTTGGTGCAGAATTTCATATGTTGTCTGGTTGTTGCTATCCTGGGTCTGTCTGGAGCTGTTTCGGTTGAAAAACTCAACTGGAAGCTAGTGAAGCTCTGGATTCCAGTCAACATAATCTTTGTGGGCATGCTTGTTTCTGGCATGTACAGGTATGTATGCATAAACTAGAATCTCAACAAATCATCAATTGAGTTATTGAGACAATTTTCACTGTGTTCTGGAGATCTAATTAGGCCTGCTTCTGCCCCTTTTCAGCCTTAAATACATAAATGTTGCAATGGTCACAATTTTGAAGAATATGACAAACATCTTAACGGCACTTGGAGAACTATACATTTTCCGGAAACATCAGAATCAGAAAGTGTGGACGGCCATGTTCTTGATGGTATGCATATTTGTTTACTTATTTATAAATCTGTAGCAACTTCTTAGTTTGCTGAGTGGTACTTTCAGAACACTTTGATCTTGCACTTGCTTAACCATTCCAATCGTGGAGTAGTTTTTGTTCTGCTTTTATCCTGCTTTTGGTTTCATGAATGATTCTATCGTCCCCTTCCTGTTTCTTCTTCAACTCTGGAACTTTCTTCTGCAGATCATCTCAGCTGTTAGTGGTGGCATTACAGATCTCTCCTTCGATGCAACTGGTTACGCATGGCAAACTGCAAATTGCATCTTAACTGCAAGCTACTCGGTATGTAGTTTAAGATGGGCTAAGAAGAAAACAGAAAAGAAAGAACTAGTGAATTGAATTATGTAGCTTTTGGCAGTTATTGGATTGTGCTTCTTGGAGTTAACTACAGATAATGCCAACTAAACATTCAATAAATCTATGTGCTCTCTCGCAGCTCACTCTGCGACGGGTGATGGACAAAGCAAAGCAGACCACGAAAACTGGCACTCTAAATGAGATCTCAATGGTGTTACTCAACAATCTCTTGTCTCTACCCTTCGGCATCTTGTTGATTTTGTTGGCTGGCGAATGGAGATATGTAATCACCACGTAAGCAAGCAATTGTCACAACACCACAAGTCAAATTCGTTCTTCTTCATGGCATGCCTTATAGCTAGCTAGCAAGATTTTCACAAAAAATGCTTCTACCTATGTCTGCAGGGATGTGATTGAGTTACCAGGTTTCTGGATCGTGGCAACAGCCAGTGGATTGCTAGGTCTTGCAATTAGCTTCACCTCAATGTGGTTCTTACATCAAACAGGCCCTACCACATACAGGTACCACTAGTCCTCAAAGCTTTACGTTGTTCGCTTCTGTATCTCTTAAGTTAAATTTCCATACCACCACCTTCACGGTTTTCTGATCACTGTCGGGGTTTCCTTTATGAGCAGCCTAGTTGGTTCCCTGAACAAGATTCCTATATCTGTTGTGGGTCTGGTGATGTTCAAGGTCCCTATCAGTATGCCAAATCTATTCAGCATTCTATTCGGATTGTTTGCCGGGACATTCTTCGCGAGGGCCAAAATGTCCTGAACACCAATATCAGGCTACAAAAGAGGAGGAGAACAGGAGGAACAAAGAAGCACTGAAGGATTACCATTCTGATATGTACTGGTACGGCAAGTAAACACATCTGGTGTGTTCCTTTTCGCAATGATCGACGGGCTTTTGTGAGTTGAAAAGTGTAACACGCGGTTAGGAACCTGCGCTGGTCTTGAAGTTGAAGCAAGCAGCCAATGATTCCATATTGTTATGATGGAGTGAACCGATGCTTCTTACGTTTAATTTACATGAGACACGGCATTTGTTTTTGGTCTCTGCCGTAAGTTTTGCTGTTCTTCAGGAGCAATTGAGTGACTGACTAAAGTGAATATGAGATCTGATCATCGGCTTAGGGGCCTAATTTTGGCATGTAACTACGGATTTCGACTCTTGGATTCATTTTTGAAAACGAAGTAGTAGCAAGGCTGAAGTAATTGAGTCGGACAAGTAACGAGTTTGAGGTTTAATGGTCTAATTGGGGTCCGGTTGGTTTGAGCCGTTTTAGACGTTTTCTAAATATATATATAAATAATGTAGTAATTAAAGATTTAATCCCTGAAATGAAATTTATCTTACATGTATATATTAAAAACTTATTTTTCACAAAATAAATCTATCTAACCTCCATGACCCACCCATCATCTCCCTTCCTTCGTTCCTCTTCCTCTCTTCCCCCTCTCTTCTTCTCCCTCTTTAGGGGTCGGACTGGGGGGCTTTCTGGAGATCGTTTTGAAGCCCTACTTAGGTTGGACCGGATCCAACCGGGGATAAAACAAATATTACTCCATCAGTGCCTCCTCTTTCCCACTCCTTTGCATGTCTGCTCTCGGCCTCTCGCCAGTCTCCTCCTAGAAGATGACACCACTTCATGGTCAATTACCATATGACGTTTATTTCTACACTTTGGTGCAACTTATTACAAGTTAGTTTAAGACATGCTTTGGTGCATGAAATTGTACCGGAGGTTGTACCGAAAAAGTGAACAATAGCATATTTTATGACAATCGTGGTTTAAACATAGTTAAATTTTTAGTAAAGTGAAATACTGCCTACCAATTCAATCTTTAGTATTAGTATTTTGTGACTGAACCACCGATACGATTTCATGGACCATATAGTTCTTACCTCTGTTCAGCAAGTGAGAAGGGAGGGGAAGAAAAGTAGTAGGGAGAATTAGACATATTGAGAGAGGGAGGGGAAGAAAAGTAGTAGGGAGAATTAGACATATTGAGAGGAGAAAATGAGGCGAGGAAAATTAAAAAAAATGGACCCATTAATTTTTCTCTCAACATTTTCCATCAGATTGGAGAGAAAGGGAAGGAAAAGAAAAGAGGGAAAGTTGGAAAAAGAGAAATTGATTAATATTTTTTTATCCTTTTTATCAACTAGTGTATTTTTTTATAAAAAATAATTTTGTATTGATTAAAATAAAGAAAGGGCTTTTCTATCACGAAAGAAAATCAAAATAAAGATATGTAGTCGGAATACAAAGAAAGGGTTTTTCTAGCCACCACATGAGCTGTTCTATTGCTATTCCGACCTACAAATCATACAATGTGACCATTTTTCCAGCAAACGACGATCTTCCTAAAGAATCGCTCCAAAGAGATTATCTTGCTTATCGGGTTGGTTGACCTTATCAATGACCACATCCGCGTCCCCTTCAAACCGGACTTGCAAGATATCACAATCTAGACACCATTGGATGGCCTCATGAAGGACTAATAGTTCCACTACTGATGGATTATCAATATAATCAATACAGACTCCCCTGATTCAAGACAATCAAACCACTCTGATCCTTTATAATCAATACCTCCATTGAGTGCGGTTCATTCCTTGTTCCACCATATCACATGCAAATAACCGAGCCGGAGATTAAGCGGCCGCACTCTCAATTTGGGGGCACCCGTGCATTTCTCAACTAGTGTGTTGTTAATTAAAATAAAAATACGATTTATCATCATAATGGGCGGATTAAGGTTTTTAAACAAATAAAATATAACTAATTAATAATTTGTTATGTCCATGGCAACAAATAAAATGTAGCCTAGTTGGTTACAATGCTCTTTATTCATTTAAGAACAAATTCATTTAGTGTAATTGGTTATGATTGTTGTCTTTGTTTGAAGAGAACTGGGTTCAAATCTTGGTATTGATATTTGTCATATGGCCCGCTTTTGGTGGGGAGGGACTAAGAATAGACGCCGTATCAAATGGATCTCGTGGCGTCTGTAGAAGTAAATTTGATGGTGGATTGGGTTTTTGTCGGTTGAAGCTAGTTAATCAAGCATTACTGGCTAAGATTGGCTGGCGGATTATGTCTGAGCCAGATTCCCTATTAGCTAGGGTCTTAAAGGGGAAGTACTTCCCTGATTGCTCATTCTTAGAGGCGCGGGCTCGCTCTAGGCCTTCATGGGGTTGGAGGGGCATCCTGCGCGGCTGGGAATTACTACGACAAGGGTTGTGTTAGCAAGTGGGTTCGGGTGAGTCTATTCGAATTGTTGAGGATAGATGGATCCCAACTCAAAGAGGGGAGTTGGCGCTGCGACATGGAGTCTTGCTCCAACCAGAGCAAACCGTGGATACCTTGCTTGCAGAAGAGAGAGGGTCTTGGTGTGAGCACTGCTTACAGTTCTGTTTCCCGTTAGAGGTAATATGTTCAATTCTTAAAGTTTCTTTACATAGAGAACCGTTGTCGGATCGTTTGGTGTGGCAGGATGATACGGTCGGTGAGTATTCTGTGAAGTCCGGCTATCACCTGGTTGTCCGTTTGTCTAGGGCCGCTGGGGGATGGAAGGATGAAGTGTCCTGGTTTGATGCTCCTTTTTGGGAAAAAGTTTAGAGCTTTCAGATACCGTAGAAACTGGAATTCTTTGTATGGCAAGCACTGCGGCAAATCCTTCCCGCTCTGGAAGCTTTAGAGGAGAAAGGATGTCAGGTTCAGAACAGGTGCCCAGTTTGTTGGGAGCCGGTTGAGACTATGGAGCATTTGTTCCTTCACTGCAACGGTTGGACTTTGGCAGGGAGCGGGTTTGATGGCGGCCAAAGCGGGATTGTCGAAGAGTAACTTTGCCTTGTTTTTTCGTCGGTTAATAAAGAGTGATGATTCTCCTATTCGTGCAATGCAGGTGGTGGCTCTCTTTTGGCGGATATGGAAGTCGCGAAACTGGGCAGCGTTTGAGCATTGCAATATATTTTTGTCGCATTGCTTCGGCAGTATCGTCTCTAGCTGCAGGAGTGGGGGGATTGTAAATCAGGACATGGTAGTTCCAAGGAGATTCATCCTGTTGTCGGGCCGTCTGTCTTGCTTGCAGGGGTTGTCAAGTGTTATGTGGATGGGGCGATTGCTGCTGGGTCGCATGGGGAAGGGGGGTAGTAGTGCAGCATGGTTCAGGATCGATTACTCTTGTGCATGTATATGCAGGACCGGTGGATCCCTTTCTGGTGGAGTTGGTGGCATTTCGGGACGCTATTCGTTGGTGCTCTTTAAAGGGTTTTGAGGTGGTTCTAATTGTGGGAGATGTTGCTAACGTTATTGAAAAGATTAGGGACGGGACTGTGTGCTAGATGCTCGAAGAGGGATCATTCTGTAGGACGTTGGGGTTTGGAGACATAAGTATAGTGAGTTCAAAATCCAGTTTATAGGTAGGTAGAACATTTGGTGGCTAGAAAAATCCTTTCTTTGTTTCTTACTAGTGTGGTGGGTTTTGATTTCGCCTCTTGGTTGAGGTCTGAATAGTAAACTGTATATCACTTTTCTTGGTAATGCAAGTGATCTTTTGGAAAAATAAAAATTGTTATGTCCATGGCTTGTCTCCTTCTCCGCCCGTCCTTCGAGGTGCTGCTTCAAATTTTTTGTTAGGGTAAATTGCAGGTTTCGTCACTGAGTTTACTAAAAAAAGTTCATGTTTGGTCACTTAAAATATTTAATTCCATTCGTGATAACTAAAATTAGTTGAATCGTTCTAATTTAGTCACTCTCCGTCCAATTTTATTATCTTTGTCCTAAGTGGCGGTCAACTCTCATGGTTAACCGTTAAATGAGCGACGTGTCAATTAAAATAATAATAATAATATATTTTTTAATATATTAGAATTTGCACCTCATTATTCCAACTATTAAAAAATAAAAACAAACAAAAAGTAGTTTTTTTAATCCCCGCCAACGTAGCAACCACCAAGGCCCACCCGCTGCTGCGTCCCCTGCCTGGGAGAAAATTTGACATCATGGTGTTGCTAAGCTAAATTCATCCACATACACCAATATCTAGTCGGCATCGTCATGGTGCCGCCTCTCCTTTATTAACTGACGACCGTCGTAGGTAGAAGTGAACGCGAGGAGAACATTTCTTCGAGTGGGTTCTCGTTCTGGAGTCATATTGAGGCTGCTGGAATTTGGGGAATGTGGAAAGACGATTGGGAAAGTTTTGATTTGTTTGGGATAGGGTTTCCTAAATCTACAACAAGAAGAACAGAAAGGAGGGGATACGGCGGCGGGTAATGGAAACGAAAAATTGATTCTTGGAGATGATGTCGTCGACGCGGCGGTGGCATCCGGAGATTGAATAAACAGTTGGTGGTGGGAAACAACGCATGACCGACGTAATAGAGGGTTTCGCCTGCTCTGTTTCTAGATACAGCTGGAACGATTCGATGAAGCTCCCGATTGATCTATGGAAGGCAAGGAGTTGTGAGGGGAACATGTAGTAGTTTGTGGAGCGAAAGGAAAAGGAACTGTTTCTAGATACTGCTGGAATGATTGGATGAAGCTCTCGATTGATCCATGGAAGGCAAGGAGTTGTGAGGGTAACGAGTAGTAGTTTGTGGAGCAAAAGGAAAAGGAAGTAGAGGTGCAGGTGGTGGACTGGTGGCGGAGTTGTGAGATTAGGGGGAAGGTATCAATTTGCGGGAAGGAAGGAGAGTTAACGCCGGAGGGGTAGGGTTGGGTGAGGTGGTTTAGGAATTAAAAGGTAATATTTTTTTTTTTTTTTTAATTTCTTAATAGTTGGGATAATGTGTTGGAAATTTTAAAATTTAAAATTTAAAATTTTATTTTTTAATTAACACTTCACTCATTTAACGGTCAACTATGAGAGTTGACCGCCGCGTAAGATAAAGATAATGGAAATGGATGGAGAGTGACCAAACTTGAACTACTTAACTAATTTTAGTGACCAAGAATGGAATTAAATATTTCTAGTGACTAAACATGAACATTTTAGTAAACTCAGTTACCAAACTTGCAATTTACTCTTTTTATTATGATATATCAATGAAAAAATGAATTGCATAAACTGCTACTTTCAAGTAATTTTAAGGATATGAATGACGAAGATGTCACGTAATGTAACATGAATAGAAAATTGTGTTATTTCGAGAATTTTTTTCCAAATTGTCTAGTTTTATTTTCTAGTGACAAAAAAGATAGTGAACATAAAAACAGTTTCACAACTTATAATTGATGAAAATACTATTAAATTTGTTATTTTATTATTACATTATTAATAAAATAACATATCTATCACATTTTGAGAAAAATATTTACCACATTTTTTATTTAATTTTTCCCTCTTACTTTTCCTATCACGTTACACCAAAAAACACCATATTCTCCTACTATTTCCCTTTCCCCCAAAATTTCATTCCCCTCAAAATTTTGTATTCTCTCCTTTCTTCCCATCTCGGAAACAAAGTGTAAGGTGAGGATTTATATATGATATTTAGTATTTGAAACACATATTTAGTGTATTATTTGTGGTTCAAAGTCAGACCACCAAAGTTGTGATTTGAAACTCATCAAGCATATAAATGAGACTTGTTTTTAAACTTTTAAAGTGTAAGTACTATAATATGCAAACAACAATTTCTATATATGAAAATGTAAATTTTCACCCAATTTTGAGGCATCTTTATAATTTCATTGAATTTCAGGTAATAAATTGTAAGACCTAATAAGTTTATGCATCAAATATAATAAATAAAATAAATTCAAATACATAAAATTTGCGTAATATACAAAAAATGAGTTTGAATTTCAAATACATATATTTCAAATTGATAACTTTATACTCATATTTTGAAGACATGCATTTAAAATATACTTATCCAAAAGCACAATCAATTACTGTTAGTTTATGGACTTCCAAGTTCCAACTAACCACTTCCTTACATGGTGTGATTTTACTTCCAGAAATACCTACAAAAACTTCTTTCCACCTTCCTTTCTTACCAATTCTTCGAATTTGCATTTCAAGATATAACTTTATGAGCACTTCTATTATGCTATATAGCATTGGTGCTTTAATGTACAACTTATTAGCACTTCTATTATGCTATATAGAATTGGTGCTTTAATGTACAACTCAAAGTTGTACCATAACATTAAATGTATAAGTTTAGGTTGTACTATAAAGCAATTTGTACCATTATGTTATTATACAACTTTACAACTTGAAGTACACATAAAGGTAGCAAGTTCAAGTTGTACCATAAAAGAATTTGTACAAAAAGTATAGGTACAATATGAAGTTGTACCATAACGTAAATGTACAATTTTAAGTTGTATCATAAAGGTAAAAACCTATAGTATCAATACTATATAACATTGTAAAATATCTCACCATTTATATATCATGAGAACTGGTGTCCTTCCAGCCTGAAATGGGTGAAGTTGAGTGGGGTGAATAAATGGTTGGTCCGTATTTACTAGGACAAACTGATGTTTGGATTGGACCATATCGAACCGACTATAATGTTGTCTTGTACTTGGTCCCATGAAATTTATAAATACGAAAGAAAAATTAATCGAATTGATATTTGGACCGGACCAGACTGAACCAAATCATATACCAAATACAATATTGATATGATCCTTAATCTTACCATATCTTTCTGTATTAAAATACAATTCTCGTAAATTTGGCTTGGTTCGAATTGGACCGAACCGTTGCACACTTCGAGCATGCTCGAATTTTATTAACAAGTCATGTTTTCATGCTAGAATTTTATTAACAAGTCATGTTTTCAACTTTTCAAAACTCAAGTGCGTAATGTAGGCTGTTGCTTGTACCTCAGGTACGTACGGGTTATGTGCTTCATTCATTGGGAAGATCATTGGAAACATATGTGCAATGCTTATACCTTGGTTCACTAGCATAACCCTAGACTATTAGAATTTTTGGATTCCAAAGCACAGTATGATTGTATATATGGCTCATCGTTCTTAGCTGATAAATCATGTAGATCTTAGCAACAGTCGATTTACACTTCTGTTAGGCCGAAAGTTATTGTTTGCTCTTCTTTAATTTACATTGTTTTTTAGGGTCAGATTTTGTGAGCAAGCAGCGTTGGTGGTAGGGGTGGGCATTGGGTGGGTCGGGTGGATTTTGACCATAAAATGCACCCACCCGCGCTTACACGGATTGATAATTTCTAACCCACCACCCACCCACATTTAGTCTCGGGTTGGGTCGGGCGGATGGTGGATGATGCGGGTGGGTTTGTGGGTTCACCCACATCACAATGTATATAATATAAAGGAGTCAACTTGACATGATAATAGGTGAAGAGAATCATCGAGGGAAACAAGAAGTTGAAATAGGGCGAAAAATGTTGAATTAGTTCTTAAATTGGATAGAAATTCTATTATGAAAGAGTTTTCTACAGATTGAGACGATTATTAGGTGCAAGAAACTAGACGATTATTAGGTGCAAGAAACTAAGGAAAATAATTCCACAAAGGAAAGAGCGGTGATCAAGGCACGAGAATTAGAGGAAAAAGTAAAGGGAAGAAGAGGGGATCTCTATTTGGAAGGTTGGCTTTGAGGTTCAAACTCGAGGAGCAGTCCGAGTTTATATCTAAAGTCTACACTCTCCTCTCTCTAGCGCCAACAACTTTGATCTTTTTGCTGTTGGGTTGAGCGGGTCACCCGCACACTCACCCACAACCCACCCACCACCCGGCGGATGGCTCCCAGCTCAACCCGTCACCCACCCACTGACCCATCCACTTAACGAAATTCGGGTCAAATGCGGGTGGGTCGGTCCAAATCCGCGGATGATCCGCCCGCATGCCCAGCCCTAGTTGGTGGGGCGTTATTGGTTCTACTTGTGAGAGAAAATTCTTGTTTTTTAAAAGTTGATTTTGGTGCATAATGGGAATTTTTTATAGCACAAAAATATGTTTTTCCGAAGAAAAAAATAATATTAGTTTATTCTCAATAATTTTTAGTTTATTGAGAATAAATTAAGTATGATCTTATACCAAAATTAGAGATAAACTGGTCAATATGTAAAAATTATAACTTTCCTTCCGTTGCTGAAATAGAAAGTAATCAAAATCTAACTATGAGAAATAAGTGCCCAAGATCTTGGTTAATATTGTTGGAGAAATTTAGAAACTCCATTGATCAACAGTACATTTGTGTTTGAAATTGTTTGTCATCTACAGTACACAAACCCATCCAAGTTAAGTGATAAGAAGATCCAAAAATGAGGAAAGAAAAAAGTTGAGTCAGAAGTTGTTAGAAAAAGAGCAGACTAAAATGACAAAACATCTTGAAAGCCGTAAGATGAGAAACCCAGTGAAACCCTAGCTGCACACACCACTTGTCGCCAGAACCCAGAAGTGAACAAACCAAACCATGTCATTCTCATCTTCTTCACCGACCAAAAAAACTTTCCTCTCCATTTCGTCGTTAATATGTCCACACCAACATGCACTTATCCAACGGTTAAAAATCCAACGGAAACCAACAGTGAAATGAGTTCCCCTGATGAGCAGGTTTTCACAGCAAACAAACCCTAAATCTCTTTGCAAATTTCCCAATCATCAACTAATTGAAGTTAAATAAAACCAACCAACAACAGCCCTATTCCCCACGACAACAACCCATCTGCTGAGTCAGCTCAGCATCCGAGTCATAAAAAAAAAACTACCTGCTGTTCAAGCCGGCCGAAGTAAACGAAAGCATCTCAATCAAGTCCATCTCCTTCTTCCCCTCACCAGCCCCGTTCTCCACTCCACCGCAGCCCACAACAGCGTCAGCAACCAACGACGAGGAGCTGGATGCATACATTGCTCCTCCGTTCAAGAGATCGTACAGGTACAGATCCGCATAAAGGTGGCGGCCGTTACTACTCTCCATGGCAGCAGCAGCAGCACTATAAGGCTTCATCTCTGCACCGTCCACGTCATCGTTGGCAGAAGCGACGGCATTGTCATGATCATAGAGAGTTATTACCGACGGGGAAGGGGAAGGGGAAGGCTCCTTGGTGGCAAACAGGTTCTGCATGAAGAGGAGCTCGTCGTCGTAGGTGTGGGTGATGAGAGTGGTGGAGTCGTCTGATGCTGCTGACTCGGACAGGGAGGGGAGGAGGGATCCTTGGGCGGCGCCGGCGGAGGATGTAGTACTGCTACTAGCGCCGACCACAGTGGTTTGGGCGAGTTCCAGGGTTTTGCTGCGGATGTAGTCTTGGAGGATGGATGAGGACGACTGAGTTTTGCCATTGTTGTTGTTGTCGTTGTCGTTGTCGGGTGGCGTTGATGACTTGGCGGAGGTTTGCTTCCGGCGTGAGTTCTGGCGGACGCTTGGTGGCGTTCCAGTGATTCTTGATGGCGTTCTCGGTCCTTCCCTGAATCAGCTTGGCGATTTCTGCCCACCGGTTCCCTATCTTTGCATGGGCGTCTACTAGTATCCGCTCCTCCTCTTCACTCCAACCGTCCTTCTGCATAAACAAAATAAAAAGACACCTCAATTCTACAAGTCACACTACTGGTGCATAAGTTCCAAGTCTCAGACAATGCCGACTCTCATATGAATACTTTGAAAGTTTTATGAAACTGACTGGACGATTCGAACGTGCAAAACCCCTATCAGTTGCTATGAGAAATTTTCCTCAAAATGAATGGTTGTGAAAAGGATTGAACTCGAGTACACACTGTATCAATTCACATGTTTTGGTAACGAATCGGTAGTTACAATGAAGAAGCAAAATTAACGTGACGGAAGTGAACGACAAAAGTAAGAAGAAAAGAGTTTACATATAAAAAAGGAAATAAGGTAAAATAGTTATCTTTATTCTTAAAAATTAGATGAAGAGAACGGTTAGGACGAATCAAAATATAAAAACGAAGCAAATCACATGAAAAACAACTCAAGCTGTTGATCATCAACTCCAGTAGAAATTTGACTCTTTTTATGTTATCAATGAGCTGCACTCTCTACATGCAAAGGACAGAAAACAAAAGGGACGCAAATTGAAACAAAACAAAAATCATTAGGAGAAAGAAACATGCAAACCTGGCATCAATGAGTTAGTTAGTTGCTCTCCACGCAAGGACAGAATTGAAAAGGAGATTGCTGAAAGCCGGGGGAGAAAACAGAAACATACTAGGAGAAAGGGGGAAAAAAACACAATTTTGCATGGTTTTCGATACCTAGATTTTGGGTTGGGAAAGGGGCAAAGTTCCCCCAATCTAACAAACGAAGTAGAGATTATTGCAAGGGAGAGATATTCCGATTGGCCAAGGAAAATGAAAGGAATTCTTAGCTAAAATGGAGGAGCTTCAGTAGTAAAGTATGGATTCTATTCATGTGTTCGGAATTTTTTTAACTATCATTTTGAGGAAAATATTTTGGTGTTCAACGATAAATAAGAAAGATTATCACTCGAACTCGTTAACGAATTTCTTGCTAATATAAATGGAAATCAAAGTGGATTTAAAGAAGAAATGATAAAAATAACACAAGTAGCAAGATATAAGAGATTTGGACACGATATGCTTGTGGTTTCGACTCTATCAATCTACCATATCGAGAAAAATTCCGTAATGACCATCAACAAACGAAGAAGGAATAGATCGAATTCTCCAGCTAGCAGATTCAACCCTAAAATGGCAAAACGAAGGGAGAAAAAGAGACCTTGATATCTGGGCGCAAATGGTTGTGCCACCTCTCCCTGCACTGCTTACCAGCCCTCCCAGCAAGCCTCTCAGCTATCTGCGCCCATTTCCTTATCCCGAATTGCTTCACCAGCCTTATCAGCTTCCTGTTTTTTTTTTTTTTTTTTTCATTACAAAATATCAACAGAAACAGAAACAAAAAAACCCACCAAAAATGGTAAAAAAAAAAAATCACACCTAGCCAGCTAGCTAGCCAACGTACCTATCTTCTTCTTCAGTCCACTGGCCTTTGATCAAAGCGGCAGAAGCCGACGACGGCTGCTTCTTCCCGCCTTCTTCCCGCCGCCGCCTTTCCCCCCTTCCTCGTCGCCACCCGCCTTAGCAACGACGCCGCATCAATCGTGGGTACTGCCGAGCATCATCCAGTCAATCCCCAGCCCCCCGCAGTCCTCATCTCCGAAGCTCATGGCAGCCGACCAAGGGGAACCCAGCCGGTGGACAAAACGACGACGGATTCGACGAATTGTTGTTGTTGTTGTTGTTGTTGTTGTTGTTGTTATTATTATCACTGTAGCCGTAAAGAAACCCGTTGAGCGGCGGCGCTTCTTTTGTTGTCGTGGTGATGAGCTGCTGCTGTGGGAAATGGGTTTGCTGATTGATGTTATTGCTGCTGCTGCTGTTGCCGCCTCGGGCCTGGGGGCCCCACAAGAACCTGTCGATGGCGGTGAGCGGTGGCGGAGTAATTGTCCGGTAAACCGTCGCAGAGGAAGAGGAGGAATTCATGACAACGGGGTTGTTCCTTCCGTACCCAAACCCCGCGCCGCCTTCTTCCTCCATGATTGGGAGAGGACAGGTTTCTGTATGACGATGATGATGATGATTACAAGGTGGGAAAAGAAAGAAAGAAAGAAAGAGATGAGATTGAGGTGAATTAAGGGAGTGGAGAGAGCTGGTAATAATGGAGGAAGGGGAGGGAGTGAGCTGAGAATGAATTGAGTGGGAAGGCTGGGTTATAGGCTTCTCATATGCCTTGCCACCTCCTCAGCCGTCGATCTCTCTCCCCATCGCACGGCTCACGTTTGAAGATGGCTCAGCTCCTCAACTTCCTCCCTCCGACCAAAAGTAAAATCAGGGGGAGTCAAGTCAAGTCAAGTAAATAAAATGAAATGAAAAAAGGGCCCTATTTCAGCTGCTTGATCATAATAATTATTGTTATTATGGGCATCATTACCGACTAAATCCTTTCTTCTTCACCATTCCCAAATGAGTCAACACGTACACAAATCATATATATGTAAGCAGTTGTAAATTTTCAAGTATTCCCTAGACTCAGCGCACTATATATTTCTAAATTTCAAATATAAGTATTTAGCCACTATATATTTTGCTTGTTTTGATTAATTGATATTAAAAGAGCCTCAATGTGACTTCAAATTATATATTTTGTGTACTTGGTATTAGTTTTACCTCATGAGAAATGCTGGAGCATTAATATATATGATTAATCACATGGAAATATATATATGGGTGAGTTTGGTAATTTCAAGAGTTAAGCAATTAATGCTAATTAATTAATATGTTGTAATTATTGGATTTCATTTACTAAGTTTTCATATTTGTGCTTTTTTTAGTTTTTGGGGAATAAATGGTGGAGGGATTGGGCTGTAACCGTTGGAGAAGCCATTAATTTAGTTCTTCTTCATCTCCTTCTCGCCCAGGTGGTCAAACCTTCCGTATAAATTATCAAGTTAAAAATAAGGGGTTATAGGTATAATATGACCCTCTACTATGCAGTTTTATCAACTGAATCGCTATTCGTCGTCCTAAAATTCAAAAAAATTCGCCCTAAAATACATTAATTGACACATTTACCCCTAATATCAATTCTAACCTAAACCGGGGAAAATGTCGCCGTCGGCCACCCAAGTATTCCTCTCGTTCGGTCCCTGCTGCCAACAAAGGAGGATGAAGAAGGTCATTAGTCGCCGCCGGAGTCGCTCCCCGCCGCCGCTAATATTTGTCGTTGCTGTCGACCAGGAGGAGGGAGGAGGGCGAAGAAGAAGGAAGGAGAGAGCGATTTATCCAAAACAGAGAATGATGCAGCTGGGAACGTGGAAGTGGAGTCGGGGAAACTTGGCCGGAAAATTTAGCGAAGTGATGGCTTGGGATTCCCAGACACTGGCGAGAGAATCGGTCAATAAATAAGAGATATTGAGAGACTCAATTATGCACAATTAAGATGGGAATTGTAGTTGGTTAAGGAAATAACAAGGAATGGAGGTCGGAGCAGATGTCTCGACAAGAAGAGGGCAACCAAAGAGAGAAATAGCCCAGGAAAGTCTTGGCTTTGGTGAAATTGAACTTACGGCCAACGATTTCTAAATGGGTTTATTCACCTGCACGGATCGCCGCCTGAAGGAAGAAAAAGACGCAGCACAATAGAGGATTGCATTTTTTGTGTTTTTTTTTGTTGGTCGGCGTCGGACAGGTTGAAATCCCGTCGCCGGCGAGCTGGGACAGGTACCTGACCAGCTGACCGGTCGCTTGCAGTCGCTGACGGATTATGAAACAAAACTTAAACAAAGGACATTAGAGTCATTTTAACAAAAGTTAGGGCGACAAATAAGGTATTTTAGGGCGACGAATAGCAATGCCCTTTATCAAACATGTCCCTACTATATTTTAGTAGGGAACATGCCCCTATACTTTGTAAAAACGATCAAACATGTCCTTCTGTTAAAATTTGCATTCAAAACCATCAACCATGGTCGAACCTTAGTTTGGGCGACACCTATGTCTAAAATATTCCTAATAATTTTACTTTAGAAATGTTTTGTTTCTTTTGTATAGCCAAATACCTCTGATAATTTCACTTTAACGAGACTTGGAGATATAAATGAGGAGGAAAAACTGACATTTCATCCCCAATTTTTTCGATATCGGGTCGTGTGAATCTCGGTTCAACCGTGTTTGACCATTTTTAATGGAAATTTTAACATAATGACATATTTGATAATTTTCCAAAGTATAAAGGCATGTTTGATGTAAAAAATAATAGAGGGGCATGTTTGATAAAATTACATAGTAGAGAGACATATTATATCTATAACCCTAAAAACAAGTTATTATCCAACACTATATCTACTTATTACTATATTTGTTTTTTTGTTGCTATCGGATTCTCAATTAAATTACAATTTCAAAGCAAGACATTCTCACAAAACTATTTAAAAAAGGTACCAAAAATAAAATATAGTATTTAGTGTGGATCATATCAGTCTCCTCGTCATGCTCAGAGTGGTATCGATGGTATAAGCTGAGGTAATTTATTTCGTTTCCTTTCTTATTTGAGGAAGATGCATGATGCAATTTTATTTGTTTTCTTTTTTTATATATATATACTATTAAGAGTTAATAATCAGGTTGTAATAAGATGATGCAATTCGTTGTGCAAGGCAGGGAAAGGCTGGCAAAAGTTTGACGGACTGTCATGGCTTGGACTTGGGCCAGGGTTTTCAAATCCTGAAAGCCCATCAATTGGGATCGCTCCACTCTTTAACTGGGCTAGGGCAATAACATTGAACTGATATATAAAAGTGGACTCCCTACTCCCTAGTGGGATAAAAGTTAAACTCTAGACGGTTAAACGCGGGATAGTGTCACTATATAAGCTTGCGTAATAATATTTGAACCTTCATTTTAAGTGGCACTCAAATCTAATGGTTGTCAAATAAAGTTTTTTTATTATTTTCTTTAGTTTTTTAATCGAATGTTATCTTCTTCCTTCCAACATAAATTTCATTTTTTTTCATAGATGGAATGAGTTTGTTGTACTCTACAAAATAATATTCATTGTCAATGTATTTCGAGAAAAGAAAAGGAAGAGAAGAAAAAAGCTGAGTATCCATCCCTCTTCACAAATATGATAGAAGCGTTTTCATGCAGGAAGATGACAGGGTCAAAGATAATTAAGGAGGCCACGATCAAGAAAATTTCTTAGGGTTACAAAGAATTCGTCTAGTCAATGAAGCAAAAAAGATCCTTGGCACTACATCATCAAATGTCCTATGGATGACCATCACGTGAAAAAGGTCTAATTGACTTGGCTCAAGTGTCAACATACCACCACTATAGAACATATGAAGAGATGAGACTATCCAACAATGAGTACGTCAACGTAGAGATCATGCTAACCAACAACACCCTTTGGAGAGCTTTTGGAGTTGTTCGAGACTTAAGCATCTAAGTTAGCCTATTCATTTCCTTCCCCAACTACGTCATGATTGACATGGAGACAAGCAAAGTATTCAATCCTCTTTAGAAGGTCATTCTTTGCCACTGTTGGAGCAAGAAATGATGTTGTTAACGGAGAAGTACCCTTACATGTGGGAAAGCTCCTACAAAGTGGAGAAACCAATCAAAAGAAGTGATGAATGTTGTGGTTATTGTTCACATATACCATGTTTCTTGCAACACAAATCACATAAAGAAATCCAAGTAACGAAAGGTTAAAGAAAAGAAATCAAGACTCGACAAAAACATGCATAAACACCATCCGAGCCAATAAAATTCACTATTTCTCCTAAAAGAATTTAGTTCCCCTCTACGGTACCCAAGGTTAATGGAACTATTCCTCCTAGGATAGAACAGACGCAACTTTTTTGGCGTACCGGTATTTGAAACCCCAGAAACCAGCGTACGCAACAAACGACGAGAAGTCGCACGACTTTATTTTTCTTTTATGCATTTGTAGAGAGGAATAATTAATGAAGAAGAAAACACATTTTCTTTCTTTCGGCCGAAAATCTCTCGGGAAAAATTTGCTTATGAAAACAGTAGTGACCAGGATACCGTACCGGATCGACCGACCAGACCGGAAAAAACCAAAAACCGGGCCAAATCCGACATGGTATGTGCTTTGTATAACAAAATGTGCGGTCGGCCGGTATTCCTGGTTGAACCGCACACACCCAAAATTTTGGCTGGTTTTAATAAAACCGGGAGTCTCTTTATTTAAACAAAACAACGTTGTTTTTTTACATAAGATTAAACAAAAACAAAATTTAAATTTAAATTTAAAGAAAAGAAAAGGAATACAGAAACCCTAAGTCTCGCAGCAACTCTCGTCTTTCTCGATTCAGCCTCCTTTGGTCGCTCTCTGTCTTCCTCCTCTCAACGATTCGTCCTTCCCAACGACCAGAGACCACTGCCGATTTGGCCTCCCCAGCAACTAAAGACCATCGTTCGTCCTTCGTTCGACCTCATCGGAGGAAGAGGATGTTGCCTTTATCGTTCGCCCCTGGAGTTTCGATCTGAGAAAGAGGAGGTCGCCGACTCGCCGTCCGCCTTCATCGTTGTCTTCTGATCGTTCTATCCGCGGAGCGAGGTTGCCGTCCGTCGATTCAGAAAGGTACTTCGTAATGGATGGGTTTGGGACAAGGTTTGCGATGGGTTTAACAATAAATCTCATCTTTTTCCTTGGATGGTACCTCTTCGAGAGCCTGCTTCCGGTGAGGTCGAAACAAGGAGAATTGCCTCTTCTCCTCAAGTATTATGAGACTACGGGGTTCATTTCATAATGGATGAGTTTGGGACAAGGTTTGCGATCATTTTGTGTGATGGTTTGGTGGTTTGGTGCAGCTTGTAATTCATCAGCCAAGATTGTGGGTGTTTATTAACATTATGTTGATTATTTTTGTTTTCACAACAATGGCAAGCGGAGAAGAAACCCCGACGGTTGATCAAGGAGCTTCTTCTAGTAAACCACGAGTGTCAACAAAGAATGTACGAGCCAAAACTGATCCAACTTGGAATCATTGTACCTTTCATCTTGAGGG